TGTCAAAAAACTATACAAAAGTATATTTTGGGGCAAAGTCTTCACTCATGCTCGTGAGGCCCGCGAACACCTTGTATTGTTTTTGACAGGGACGGCGGGGGTGTCAGCATATTCCCTGCTGTGCGCAGGGCTACCATCCCAGACAAAAAAAACAATACAACATGAACCTCGCGGGTACATCTGGATCATGCGCGGCCACCCCGCGATCACTGTCAAGTGGCTTTTGACAGGGACGGCTGGGGTAGTGGCGCGTGGCCTGCTGTGCGCAGGCCCACCAGACACAATGATGTGCATTGGTTTTCGACAAGGATGGTGGGGGCCGACATGTTTCCCGATGTGTGCTGTCACGTTCGCAGGCGCACCTGACACACTCTGCACGTGCCCCGAACGTGGCGCACCTGGCGCGGCTGGAGTGTGCGGCACACCTTGGCTCGTCTGGCGCACCAGGCGTGCCTGGCACGCTCGGGCCCCAGGGGTGCCTGGCGCACTTGGCGCACCTCGCCCAAGCGTCGCGCAGCTGGGGTATGTTTTGATTCCCAGTAGCTGCCCATCGAAAGACGACCGCTGAACATGCTGAGGCCCGGGTGCTACTTATGTGTCGGGAGGGCGGGTGGGAGTGAGCGAGACTGCTTGCGGGCGGGGAGGGTGCACGGACCCCCAAACTCTGGAGCATGCGCGGGCGCCCCGCGACCACTTTGCATTGATTTTTGACGGGCACGGTGGGGGGGGCCTCATAGTGCTTACTGCGCACGGGCCAACAACCCCTGTCAACTTACAATACAGAATACACCGTGCTTCCAGATCTGGAGCACATGCGGGCGCCCCGCTACCACTTTGGCACTGGTTCTCGACAGGGATCCTCGGGGGCTGCTGGTGTGTTGGGAGGGCGGGTGGGAGTGAGCGAGACGGCTTTCTCTCATCAACGATCCCGTTGGGCCTGACCGCTAAACAAACGAGGGCAAGCCGAAACGCGGCTGGCACGAGGAGGAGGAGGAGGAGGAGGAGGGCACGCACTGTGAGCCCTTCCCCTGCCCCCTCCTCCGAGTCTGGCAAGAGGGCCCTCGATAGCCCAAGATGGCCTCCAAGATGGCCCGAGCTGCTTGAATGGCACTTGAACTAGTCTCCGATATACCCACAAGAGGTACCAATACCGCCACAAGACGGTTCCAAGTGCCCTCCGAGCCTTTCTAGGCACCCCCCAAGAGGCCAAACATCCTTCAAACATCTAAGAGACACCAATGTGTGTGTGTTGCCTTCTGACCTGCTGGCTTCCGATGGGCCTCTGAGGCCTCAAGATGGTCCCAAGACGGCTTAAGAGAGCCCCAAGAGGGTCCCGATATGGCCCCAAGACGGCCCCAAGAGCGCCCAAGAGCTCCCCAAGAGCGTCCCAAGAGGGGCTCAAGACGCAAGCTGCTGGCCTCTGAGCCTGAACTTCAACCTTCGCCTTGTTCGAGTCATCGCTTCCAAGACGGCCCCAAGAGGTATCACGGACCTCCCAAGAGACCCCTGATCTCAAGAAAGAACCCCAACTTGAGACATAGCCGCCCGTCATCTGTGTAACCCTTGCACAGCATCACAGCCCAAGTCGTAGTGTTCGAAAAGGTCTCGCGTACCAGCTTCAGGCTCTAATGCGACTATGCGCGGCGTCACGGCGAGAAACACATTTTGAAACGGCTCGCCCTCCATGCTGGCAGCAGTTGGACGATTTGAAGGCACACGTGTGCGGCGCTAAAGCGAGCACCACATTTGAAAACCACCCGCCCTCCGTCCCTGTCACTGTTGGAAGCTCTAAGCTTCACGATCACGCACGGCGAGGAAGTCCCAGAGGAAATACCCTGCTCGCCCTGCCAACGCCTATGGTTGTGCGACTGCGGCGAGGAGGATGCTCACAAGAGAAGTGGCCAGGGAGCAGGACGAGGTAAGGCGCATCGGAGGCGAGTACCGAGCCGACGGGAGGACGTGCAATATACGCGTGAACGCGCATGCCACATGTGACCAAACGCATGAGATGATCATGCGCGGGCGGGCGAAGCTTGAACACAACTTTAAGCACTTTGCTGTTTTGCCTGATCCCAGGTTTTGAAATCCGGAGCCCAAGTGAATCCCAGGAACCAGGGATCAAGCAACATAGCATTTTTGCTAAGATTTAGAAATTGCTCCACTCCAGCAAACACACACCTTCTAAAACTTTTAAGAATTCGGAGGGCGAGGCTAAATTTCTAACATAATATTTGAACATATTTGCAATGCCTGCTAATCCAGGGATTCTGGAATCCAGCGCGTTGGAGGTCCTTCAGGTTTTGCGACGAAGGAATCAACAGCAGGGACGGCGCAGAGCTGAAGCAAATGCGCGAGAAGCAGCATCAAGACAGACGCTGGGAACTCGCCGCGTGGGGTGGGGTGGGGTGGGGGGAAATGACCCTGGTCGTCCGTACCCCCCCCCAGCGGCCCCTTCGCTTGGCCCCCCCGTGTGGCTCTCAAGAAATGCCCACCCCTCCGCGTGTTGCCCCTCCGTGTAGCTCACCCGTGCGATGAAGTAATGCCGCTCCAGCCTCCGCACCCGGATCATCGAAGGCACGATGAGAGGCGGTCGTATATAAGCACGCCCATAGGACAGGAGAGGAGGAAGAACAGAGAAGGTGGAGGATGCAAGGGCGTCACACGAACGATGCACGGGGCGTCCAACGAAACCCGATCCACCTTGTCACTGGTCTTGACCGTGGCCTTCGCGGCAAGCATTTCAAGAGTAAGGTGTGAAAGCACCCCGCCGCCCACGCTGGGCGTGCCTCGTCATTGCCGAGCGGCGGGAGCAGGTCGAAGCGCCAGTCGTACAGCAGGCTCCGCGCGGGCAGGTGGGGTGCGGGCAGGCAGGGTTGAGAGATGGTGCGGTATGCGGTGCTCGCCTTCCCAGGCTCACCGGGTTCCTATATTCGACCTACAGTCCCCTTCGCTTCGTCCCCCCAGTCCTCCGTGGGCCAATCTCATCTGGTTCATATACTCTGTACGCTCTGATTCTTGGGCAACTACCCCCTGGGCGACTGGAGCCAGATGCGGCTCGAGAGGAAAACAAGTGGCACGCGTGCCATGGCTCTTGCACAGATGCAGGGGGCGAGGGGGGCTGACTCCAGTGCAAAAGCGGGGTGGAGGGCTGGGTCCGAGGCAAGGCCACCAGGACGGCCAGGGGGGAGGACGAACGACAAACGAACGAACGACGACGACGAAAAGAAAGAGGTCCGAGCTCTAGAACACAGCTGTGCAAGAGAATCAAATTTGCTGAACAACGCCAATCTTGGCGGGCACTCGCACGTCAAGCGGCCGAGTGGTTTCCGCAAGATTGCAGCGACCAGAATCAGGCAAGCCTTAGTTCGGGCATGTCCCCCTACAGGCTGATTTGGGACGAAAAATGAGAAATAGCCAAAACATATTCCAAAATAGCGAAACAATCGTCCCCAAACTATTTTTCGACCATGTTTGAGTATTCCTCCTGTAGGGGGACACGCTCGACTGAAGGCAAGCCCGTTTCGGCGAACAGGGAGGCCCGCCACGCGGGGGGACGACCTTCTGGGGCAGGAGCCCAGCGCCTTCGTCCCTCGATCCTTCTTTGATGGGCAGATTTTCCACCACCACTACCATGTGTAGGACGGGGGAGAAGGGAGGATGAGGAGGTCCTCCTCCTCCTCCTCCTACCTATGGTAGCGGTGGTGGAAAATGGGCCCATCGTTCTTCTTCCCTCCCTGTCGTCCCTCCCCCCTCCCCTCATGCAGAGCAGCCTGAACGAACATATTGTTCCCGCTCGCAGCTTTCACATGTTCGTCCGTGCCCCGCATGGTGGCCTGACCCTGTTCGATCAGACCCCAATGTACGCTCTGCGTGTTACCTTCTACTCTGCTGCTTGGTACCCTCTACTCTCTACTCTGTCCTCTCTATTCTGTACTCTCCCCCGCTACATGTGATATCTACCCTCCACCCTCTATGCTCCACTCTTTATTCTCCATTGTCGCCTCTCCACACTTCGCTTCCTACTCTATACTGTCTGCTTTGTGCTCTCTACTCTCTATGCTATACTCCCCACCGTGCCCCCCTGGCACGCTCAAGCGTGACATGATGCCGAGCGCTGTCCGCCTGGGATTTAATAAGTCTTCCGAATCCCTCCCCCCTCGACGAACAGTGCTGCATGCCGTCCACCCTTCCCTTGCGAGGCTTCGTGGGCAGCCCAACGCCTCTCTGGAGCTCTTCAAGACGGCCCAGATGGCCACGACGGCCGCCAAGGTGGCCATTTATTGCCTCAAGAGGTACCCAACATCCCCCGAACGACCCCAGGAGACGAAACAACCATCCCAAAAGGCCTCCAACACACAAAAGAGAACCCACATAGCCCTCCAATGAGGCCACCATCATTCAGACAACAGATGGATTCCGAAATCTGTTGTATCTAGTGTGTGTGTGTGTGTGTGTGTGTGCGTATGTGTGTGTGTGTGTGTGTGCGTGTGTGTGCGTGTCCTGGGCCCGTCGGCTGAAGATGGTTCCAAAGAGGGCCTCGGAGGAGCCAAAAAGAGGCCACAGCTCTGTAAAGGTCAAGGATTTTGCCAGAAAAGGCACCAACAGGGTCCTCGATAGCCCCTAAGACATCCTCAAGACGGCTCAAGGCGCCACCGACACGGCCCAAGAAGGCCCCAATACGGCCCAAGAATGTTTCAAGAAGATTCCAAGACAGCCCCCCAAAAAATCCTATCCATCCCCAAGATAGCCCAGGTTGGCCCCATGAGCCCCTCGAAGAAGGAAAACGGCGTGTGTTTTCATGATACGGCCTCGACGGCAATGCCCCGAAGCGTCGCCACACCGACTGCTGCGCTGGCACGGTAGCGGGAAACCTGCCGCAGGAAACTGGCTACGACACCCCTTCCGTCCAACGGTACATCCCCAAGGCAGAAAATGCAATCCTTTTGGAATCCCACCAGCCCTCTGGGCGTCGGTGGTTTAAGGAGTTTCCTCTTCCACCCCTCCTTCTTCCCCTTCGGGGAGGGGTTTACCCCTCCCCCTACCCCCTCCCCGCTGACCTGGCCAGGGGGTTCCGCGGCGCGTTGGAGCGTCCAAAACGGCCTCGGCGAGGAAGCCCAAATCATTGATTTTCCCATGGTTTGGGCCCCATTTTGGCCTTCTGAGGGGGGGGCTGAAATTTAGGACCCCCCCTTCTTTGATCGATTTCCTCCACGATGGCCGCAAGAGGCCCCCAGGATGCCCCAAGAGGCCGCCGGATGGCCCCAAGATGGCCCCAAGAGGCCCCCCAAGAGGCCTCCAGGAGGCCCCCAAGAGACCCCCAAGAGGCCCCAAGAGACCCCCCAGAGGCACCCAAGGTGCTCCCAGAGGCCCCAAGATGGCCCCAAGAGGCCCCAAAAGGCCCCCAGGATGCCCCAAAGAGGATTCCGAACGGCCCCCCGAGGCCCCCCCGAGGCACCCAAGACGCCGAAAAGCCCCTCAGGACGACCCTCTACTCGCCTGGGCGTCGTTTCTGGACGGGCTGGTGGGGATACGCGAAGCGTCTAGAATTAGAGCGGGTAAACGACTGTGGATGTATTGTGATGTGTTCCAGATGTGCGACAACGTCGCGGGTCCTACTTTGCATTTGGCGGCTCCAAATTTAGGTGTGGGGAAACCCGTGCAATCAATTATTGAGCTGGAATGCAACTGTGCGGGACTGAATATTATTGACTAGAAACGAATATCCTGGACCCAGGGGAAACAGGATCCACGGGGCACTGCATGTGAAACAACGCGTTCTGATTATATGGGCAGGGGGGGTCCTGATGATGACGACCATCCTCATCGCCATCATCACAACCAGTTCGAGCGTCATCGCGGGTTTTCGCCCACGCCCACAACGCCCTCATAACAATGGAAGGCTCGATTGTCATTGTGGGCCCACTTGCACAACTCCCCCAAAACATTGGGTAGCTCGAGCGTCACCGCGGGCGCACATCCACTCGCATTGATGAAGAACTCGACCGTTACCGTGGGCGCCCGCGTGACTTTCCGAGCTCTAGAGGATAATCCCTCGGCCTGCGGAGGTGGGATTTCGAACTTCGCCTCCCCCCCATACACCTTGCCGCGTGTCGCCGCTTTCTGGCACCGGCCGCCAGGCTCAGGCCTTCGGGGGCGCAAGCGGACGGGTGATGGGGTAGCGCGACGACGCCGTTTGTGTGGTCGACCCTGCCCTTTGCTATCGGCAGCGCCTCCTTCAGCTACGAGTGGTCGCATTTCGTCTGGAAACCGCGCGTGGCGTTTCTGGCCACGGACCGCGACTTCGCGGACTTCATGACACCGTGTACCCGCTGCTAGTAGGCTAACATCCCTGGAACCTCTTGCCTCTCCAGCGCGCCCTTTAGATCGAGGGCGCGCAGGCGGCGACGCAGCTGCGACCAGTGCATCTCTGCTGGTTTTAATGCGGTGAGCGAGCGGGTACGTGCATCATGCGGATGCCCTTGGCGTCACGCGAGTCTTGGCAGACGCTCCAAGCCAAAAGCTTCTCGCCGTCGCGAAGGATCCTGACAGGGCCCCGCTGCCAATTAAGATTGATGGCCAAGAGCGCTTTGAAGAGGTGGTCGGGGACGGCCTGCGCTCAGTCCCCCTTCTTGATCTTCTCCTTGGCGCGGAAAATCACCCGCGCGACCCTGTCAGCACTGATGCCGCCCCGCATCGGGAGCGCGCGAAACAACGGCGCTTGGCCATTGCATTGGCCACTCCTGGCTGCCTGCGCGAGGTCCAGCCCCTCCGGCTTCCGCCGCGCCCTGCCGCAGGTAGGCCATCCGCTCCTTGGGCCCACGCGGCGGCATTGTCAAAACCGCGCCGCCGAAGGACGCGTGGGTCCGCGCTCTGATGGGGTCCACGACGCTCCGGGCTAACGCCCGTCGCTCGTCGCGCTCGTCGGCGGCGCGCGCCCGTCGCTTCAGCGGGGCGGGCCACTCGCACCTCGAACGGCTCAGGGAAGCGCTCGCGGGCGGCGCCCGATTCGGCGAAAACCTTAAAAGCTGCAGCAGCGGCGAGCGATTCGATCGCTGGCGCGCGCAGGCGAACCCGCGTTGATCGGTCGAACGAACCACGTTTGTTTACGATGCGTTCTGCTTCGCCTCCAAATGGTGGCCCCGAAGGCGGCGGGTCTTTTACCTTCTCTTGGTGGTTGCCCAGGAACGCCGTGTTCTGAACTTCGCCTAGGAGCTTGCATACTGGCGTCGCGGGCGTTCCTGTCACAAGCCCTGAGCGGCTGAGAAGGTATCCAAGGTACCGATCTTCAGCTCCAGCGCGTTCTTCGATAAGGGCTGCGCGAATTATGTCTGGGCCAACATGGATGGGCCAAGCAAGATCAGGACAGAGTGCTGGGACTGGCCCTCCTGAGTACCTGCAGCATCGGGATGGCCTCCGTTGCCCCGAATTCGCATCGCACGTGTGGAGATCGCTTGTTCCATTGCCTCCTTCTTCTCTCTCTTGCTCTCTTTCCCTATCTCCCTCTCTCTCTCTCTCTCTTCCTCATTTCTCTCTCTCTCTCTCTCTCTCTTTCTCACTCTATTCCTCTTCACGATGGCGTCTAGGTTGCGTTTGCGGAAGCGCATGCCGTACCCCGCCTTGTCGATGCACTGCCGGTACGTGTCGTGGTCCAGCTTGTATGATCATCAAAGAAAGTGCGCGCAGCCAGCGCCCGCCCACTGGATGCGAGCACGTCGCCCCCGTCCACGCCAGCGCGTATTTGCCCCGAGTGTCAGCATTCCCGCTGGCGTCGAAAACCGCGCTCTTCTTATCAGCCCACGTGTAGAAGAAGCCCCGATCCACGGTCCACTGCATTTTCTTATTGCGAAGGCCTCTTCTAACATGTCGCGCGGGCTCGCGCGGCCCACCGCGATCCCTTCGAAGGCGAAGTTCGCCGTAGTGGTGTTCGCGGCTGCCCGGGAGAACTGCAAGTACGTTCGCGCGTGCAACGAGCCACTTGCGCACCGAGTGAGCGTGAAGCACCGGTGCTTGATCCCTGTTTCTTTCGAACTGATGTGCATCTTTGAACCCGTTGTAATTTCAGAGGACCCCCTGGGACTCAGAAGACCTTCGAATTGGGTGGCGGCACTGCGCGCGGACGCTCTGGCATGGTCTTCACACGGATCTGGCGTCGCACCAAAGTGCCTTGAGCGGCATTGTTCGGACGGCCTTTCGCCTTCAAGCTCGAGCGAGATTTCTCCCATTCACCCCGACTACCTGCCAAGCACACAACATCGTCATCGGATGCTTTGCCAGGGCGCAGCTGGCACTGGAGCCGACACAGGGCGACAAGCGGTTCAGGATCGGGCGCGTCGCGGCTGATGCCCGGCTTGATGTTGTAGGCCGCCCCGAGCGCCAGCACGACCTGAATGCCGGGGCCCCGTTATAACCCACCGCCAGTGGACCTCTCGGCGGTCTCGCGTCGATTGAGCGACAACAGTTCTCAACGCACCCTGGCCTGCACCAAGTCTCGGTTGGCCGACTGCGCTCCCCTCATGAGCGCCACAGCGCAGCTAACGCGCCCGCGGAGCGCGCGCGCCGCGTACTCGAGCCGAGACTTCGGCACCGAGCCCGACAAAACTATGGCACGAGGATGGCCCCTTCCCTGGTCAAGACCAAAAGGAAAAACCGAAGCAAACGTGTCTCTAACCTGGCCGAAGCTTCAAAGCTCCGAGCTTGGTGTCGAAAGCCCAAGATGACTCCAACCTGATGCCACAGTGGCTCGAAAATGGCCCCAAGACGAGCCCGCACTAAACGTGCTCTTCATTTGGCCCCAGGGCGGCGCCAACATGACCCCAACTCTTCGGCGCTCGTCCGCACTCCTTCCTCTGCACTCCTCGGCACCCCTCCGCACTCCTCCGCACTCCCCCGACTCCTCGGCTATCCTCGGCACTCCTCCGCACTCCTCAACACTTCTCCGCACACCTCGGCACTCCTTTGAAGTCCTCGGCACTCCTCGGCATTCCTCGGCACTCGTACGCACTCATCGGCACTCCTCGGCAACCCTCTCTAAAAACCTTCCGCGCTCCTCGGCATTCCTCCTCAATCTATCGCGCTCCTCGGCGCTCCTCCACACTCCTCGGCACTCGTCCGCACCCCTGCGCACTCCTCAGTACTCATCCGCACTCCTCGGACTCCTCCACACTCCTTGGCACTCCTCGGCACTCCTCTGCACTCCTTGGAACTCCTCGTCGCTCCGCATTCCTCGGCACTTCTCCGCACTCGTCCGCACTCCTCGGCACTCCTCTGCACTTCTCGGCACTCCTGCGTGCTCCTCCTCCTCCTCCTCCTCCTCCTTCTCCTCCTCGTTCTCCTCCTCCTCCTCCTCCTCCTCCGCCGACGCCGTTTCTCATAGAGCAAGCGGCCATCCCTGTTCCAACCACCTCCTGTTCCGGATCTGGCGCGCCCCCCCAGGTGAGCTGTCGAGGGATGAGCTGCCAGACACTCCCCCCAAAGATGCAGATCCTCGGCATGGAGGCTGCCCCACGGTGCAGTTCGTAAGGGTGACGTCTGGCCTGATATGTGTATGGGCGTGAACACGTGCGTGCGTGCGTGCGTGTGCGCGAGCGCGCGTGCAGGGCGCGCGTCGCTGCTTCGCTACCTGTCGCCCCGCAGCGCTTCCAGCCAAGCAAACACATCAATCGCACGACGTGGCTTGCACAGTTTTACGAGAGACAGATGAGCGAGCGCTGGGGATAGCAGGAAATAAGCGCGTTGTATGGTGAACGTCTTGTGCCACCGCCGCCCCTATCCGCCCCTGCGCACAGGTGCGAGAAGGGTGCGAATTTCTTCAGCCCTAGGCCGAGAGTTTTCCTCATGGAGTGACAGCGTGTTAAAACCTATGGACCCAAGTGGATCCTTTTTCGGATGTGCGAGACTATCGTGGATCCTATTTCTGCGCTTGGTGGATCTAATTTCCAGTGTGGGAAAGACCAGTGAATTCATGAATTTTGCTGGGAAGCATATTCGGAAGTAACGAATATCCAGGACCCAGGAGTCATGGGATCCACTGGGCACCGCATGGGGATGTGGTTTCCTGATGATGCTCATCATCATGCCAACCATCATCACCATCAGCTCGAGCGCCACCGCGGGCTCTCGCCCACTCCCACAACACTCTCATAACAACGGATGCAGTGGAAGGCTCGTCATTGCGGGCCCCGCCTACTCTCATAACTCCCCCCATAGCATTGGGTAGCTCGAGCGTCACAACGGGCGCACTTCCAATCATGTCCCCATCATCATGAAAAGCTCGACCATCACCGCGGGCACCCGCGTGGCCTTCCGAGCTCAGGAGGAACATTGTTCGGCCTGCGGCAATATGTACCCAATGTGTGTTTCTCTATTCTGGTTACCCTCTATCCGCCACCGTGCTAGCAGCACGTTGGGAAGTGTCAGAATGCTCTTCTGTTGCCTGGTAAAGCATATTTAGCGCTTCCCAGGCTGACCCCCCCCTCGTCGCACATACGCTAAACATGGCCACCTCTGGATTTGCCCTCCTGCGCCCTCTTCGGCCCCCAAAAACTCCAAGACAACCAAGAGGATCCAAGATGGCTGCGTCAAACTGCCAAAAAGGAACTTAAATAATACATCCCCATGTGTGTGTGTGTTCAATGATTTGTCCGACGGCCCAGGATGGCCCCAGAGGCTTCCAAGACGGGCCAATCAGGCCCCAGGATGGCCCAAGAGGCCCCCAAAACGGCACAAGAGGGCACCACAAATCCCCCTGCCCCTCTCCGCCCCGTCCTCCTCCACCTTCGCTTCTGCCTCAGACTCCTCATCCCCCTCTTCATCGTCGTTCTTCCTCCCCCCTCCCACTTGCTCCCTCATGCCGCGCTCCCTCTCTCCTCCACTCTCCCCTCCTCATCCTTCCCTCGTCCCTCCTCCCTCCCCCCTCTCAACATTCTCTTCCTCCCCCTCGTGTTCTCCCAGCTCCCGCCGCTCGATCCCACAAGCCCTCGTCGCCTGCGCACACTGCCGCACCCACGAGCCCACGAGTTCTCCCCCCCCCCCCCCGATTCCTCCTCCAGCAAGGGGACAAGAAAGTGGAATCCGGTTGATTTGATTCTGTGCTTGCCCTCCTCTTCCGACCAGACTTGAAGTTGGCGTCCAGCCTGCTGGAGGCCCTGGGTGGGGGATCCACTTTTTTGGTCCCTTCGGGCCCGTGCTCCCGCATGCCCAGGGTCAACTTTGAATAGATGGGGGGGGAGGGGGGAGCGGAGCCAAGGGTTCCGCATGTTGTCCATCTATAGAGGCCTCCTAGATGGGGTCCGCGCAGACGGGGTCAGAAGATCGCGCCGCATCGGCACCACATCGGCGATGCATCGGCGATGCACCGGCGATGCACCGGCGATGCATCAGCGACGTCGGCGATGCATCGGCGACGTCGTGAAGCAAGTCGGGCCTCACATCGAGCCGCATCCTCAATGCATCGGAGGTGCGGCGCGAACCTCCGACCCCACCATCTACTCGGCCCCATCTAGGAGGCCTAGAATTTACTTCTACGGAGAACGAGAGGAACCCGTTGAGCACATGCGTACAGTCGACCCGTACTCTAAGGATGCACGATAAGGATGCAAGGGGGGCCTTGGAAGGCCGTCTCGAAGCTCCTCGAGCGGGGCGCGGCCAGCGAAAGCGGCCAAGGATGGACCGAGGAGGCAAGGATGCCAGGGCACTCTTGGGAGGAGGAGGAGGAGGAGGAGGAGGAGGAGGAGGAGGAGGAGGAGGAGGAGGAGCTTACCCTGCGGGTTGACTGCGCTTCTCCTCCCTCCCCTCCCCCCCCCCCCGCGGGCGGCGGCGATGGCCGGGCGGCGCAGGTTGGCGTCCGCGGCCGCTGGCCGCGGGGGGGCCTGTCCAGGTCGCTCGCGGAGAACGCGCTGAGGCCGCGGACAGACCTCCGGGCGCTGGGAGCGGGTGCAGGCCGAAGCCAGGGCGAGGCCACAGTCGGCCCGTATCATAAGAATGCACGATAAGGGTGCAAGGGCCTCGGACGCCCATTTCGAAGCTGTTCGAGCGGGGCATAGACCGAGGAGGCAAAGATGCAAGGACAAATTAGCTGTTTTGCTCATCAAAGTCGATGACATGTACGAGCGATTGATTAGTACTGGACTGTGTGTTGGATTATTGCAGTTTGCTGTTGCTTGGCAATCCGGGCGCTGGGAGCGGGTGCAGGCCGAAGCCAGGACGAGGCTGCTGCAAGACGAAGCCAGGACGAGAATCAATTCGGGTGAGGATCAGTCGAGAATCTCTGAGATCCGGCGGCTTCGGAGGATGTCTCGGGCGCCGCGGCCCCCTCGGAGCGTTCAGGAACCCCATCGGAGCGTTCGGGAACGCTCCGAGAGCGGACAGACCTCCGCGGACAGACCTCTGGGCGCTGGAAGCGGGTGTAGGACGAAGCCAGGACGAGGCTACAGTAGGAGCTCGACCACGAGAAGCCTCCCACAAGAAAGCCAACCCCGAGACCCCAGGACGTCCAGTGGTTTTTTGGTGTGAGAACGTCACGCTCTCCACAGCAAAACTATCGAAACCCAAGAAACCCAAGGCACCCTGGAGGCAAGCAGGGTGTTTCTTGGCATGGGTCTCCACTGTAAGTTCGGATGGGATGAATCAAGAGTCTCTGAGATCCGGCGGCTTCGGAGGATGTCTCGGGTGCCGCGGCCTCCTCGGAGCGGTCGGGAACGCTCTGAGAGCGTTCGGGAACGCACTGGAACGGAGTTGCCCCCGTCCTGGCCCCGCCCAAAGATGGGGATCGGATCGGACCGGAGGAAGGCTCGTGGTCAGCCTGAAGGAGAGCCTCGACACCATAAGAAGAAGGAAGGGAGCGGGCAGGGACGGGCGGGGACGAGGATTGGATGCTCATGCTGGGGACCTTCCTGGAGACAGTCGCTCTACTCTTGCGTCGAAGCTGCGTCGGACTGCGGCCGAACTGGAGTCGAAGAGATCCGTTAGGTGGACCCCAGGGAGGTCCCCGAGACGAGCACCCAAGGAGGAGGACAACGGAGAGGAGGAAGCGGAGAGGCGAGAGGAAAGGAACGCCGCGCCGGGACTGCCGTCCCAGCTCCGGGGCACACGGGGCCCGGCAGCAAGAGTGGCCACGGGCCACGGAGTCGAGAGAGGAACAGGTTCGCGCCCCGGTCGACGCACGGCTGCCAGGGCGGCACGCACGGCTCACCCCGGAACTCGGCGTGGCTCGAGGTCAGCGGTGAGCTGGAGGACCCTCTTGGCTGGTCGGAAACCCGAAAAAGCGAGAAGGCTCAATTCATTCAAACACGTGATGGACATCTATGATTCGTGCCTCTCGGGGCCCTCTCGAAAGTCCCTTGGTGCCCTCTTGGGGCGTCTTGGGAACCTTCCGGGCCGTCTTGGGGCCATCTTGGCCTCTCTTGGAGCACTCTTGGACCGTCTCGGAGCCCGCTTGAGCATCTCTTAGGCCGTCTTGGGGGTATACTAGGCCGTCCTGGGGCCTCTTGGGGCGTTTTGGGGGCCTCTTGACTGCACTGGGCACCACTGGGGTCGTCTTTGGGGAAGGGTCGGCATGTTACCAAGGATCCTCTGGACTTCGCACTTCCCCTGGAACCCCTTTCCACAAAACTGTTCACTTCACCAGATCGTCACCACTGGTACCAAGGCTGGACGTCAAAGTTGTTTTTCGTTGTGTTTTTCGTTTTGCTCTACCTGTTTCCCTGTACCTTCCTGCCAAAACGAAAAAAACAACACACAGCCAAAATCCAGCAAAACAGCGTTTAGGTCAAGCCCTGACTCGTGCCTCGTTCCGTCACCTGGGCCGACACGGAAACGGAAACAGCCTCTCGGGAACTTACCCGAGAGGGCTCATGGCACAATTCGCCCTTGGGGGTCTTGGTGTTGAGATCTTGTTCAGGCCACCGTTAACTCTTGGGAGACTTGGTGTTCAGAGCTTTTTGCGTCACCGTCCGCTCTGCTGAGCGTTGGCGCTAAGAGCTTTCTACGTCACTGCTCGCTCTTGGAAGCCTTGGCGTTCAAACAAATTACGTCACCGACCCATCTCAAAATGGCGTTTCCATCACCTGGAGCTCGTGGGAGCCTTGGCGCCGAAGCTGTGTCCGTCACTGGGCAGTCTGGGGCGGGAGCCTTGGCCTCAAATCTGTGTCCGTCACTGGGCTATCTGCGGGGCCCTACTTGGGGCCTCTCGAGAATCTCCTGGAGGCACCTCGGGGGTCTCTTGGGGGCGTTTGGGGCCGTCTTGGATGCCTCTTGGAGGCCTCTGGGGCTGTCTTGGTGCCTCTCGAGGTCCATCACGGGCCGTCTTGGGGCCCGCTTGGGCCATCTCGGGGGCCTTGGGGGCCTCTTGGGGCGATCCTCGGGCTCCTGACGCTCGTCCGAGTTTGATTGTTGTTCACTGCGTTCCCAAGCGCCTGGGACACGTGAAAATGTTCAGGTGCCCCCGCCCCCCCCCATTGGAAATCGTGGTGGGGTGCGGGGCGGTAGGGTTCACAGTGTGGTCGCCGAGCGTTGGATCCGCCGTCGCAGGGCCGAGTGAGCGTGAGTTCGGTGCACCGCTTGCGCACTGCGTGCGCGCCGGGCCCCAACGGGCCCTCAGGGAGCTTCTGGGACCGCCCGATTTGCCAAATGACGCCAACAACTGGCCCCCCCCCCAACCCCCCCCTCCCAACCAACAAAAACACCCGCAGCCCCTCCAGCGCCCCCCCCTCCTCCAGAAGCAGTCCGGTGGGGCCCAGACCTGTGTTCCCGGAGGCTCCTTCGGGAACATCGGCATGCGGCCCCAGCAAGCAGCCAAGTGTGGGGGTGCCACCGCACCACAAGGCCGTCCAGTGGCCACCCGAGCATTCACATCGCCACCCGCCGCCCCGTCACATGCTCCAGGCATCATCTGTTGTACCCAGCGCTAGAAGTCACTGATCGCTGCAACAAGCAGTGCCGACGCTCGTCGCAGCAGTAACACCGAGCACCGAACGCTCACTGCTTGCGAGTTGTGCGTGTCCC